CGCCGCGCCGACCGACTCAAGACCAAGCAGGTCGGCAGCAGCAGCAGAGGCAACAGAGGGCAGCAAGGGGGAAGGAGAGCACCCCTCAAAGGTGGGGGTGCGAGGGTCACCACGAGAAGCTCCTACAGCGACTATGCTCTTCTCCGCTGCGAGGAGGGCCTTCTCGAGGAGGTCGACGGTGAGGGTGGTGGGACAGACTGCGAGAAAGTGGTCCCTGACTACGCGAAGGGAGTCAGGGAGGCGTGCGACTACGTAGTAGAGAGTGATGTACATGGGGGGGGGGTACTTAGCGCAGAACTCAGCAGGAAGGGCGGCGCGGTAGCGAGTGTCACTAGTGCGGAGGTGCGTAATGAGGTCAGCGACAGTGGGAAAGGCAGAGAGGTCAGGAAAGAGGTAGGGAAGCATGAGACGGCTCAGTGCAGCAGTGGCAGGGGAGGAGTAGCGCGCAACTACAGCGTCGTACAAGGTCTGAGCACTCTTGTACTGACTAAAGTGCGCGCGCTCAGAGGTAGGGAGGTGGCGACGCACAGCAAGACGTGCAGCAGCATCGCGGGTGGCCCACTGAGAGCGCACAGTGGGATCAGCATCAGCAGCAGGAGCAGGAGAGGCGCCAGAGGTAAGGTCAAAGAGAGAGAGGCCGTCTGCCCTATCGCACTGTAAAAACAACTGCAGGTCGTCTACCCAGACCTCAAAGTCAATGGCGCGACCCTCAGCGTCAAAAGCTAGGACACTAGGGGTAGCCATGACGACGACAGCGAAGCAGTGCAAGCAGTAGGGGAAGAGCACGCAGTGACAGTGGGACTGTGCTCACCAGGCAGGGCAGGCTGGGCAACTCTGCAGAAGGGCGGCTCGGCGACTCAGCGACTCGGCTGCTGGGCGGCTCGGCTCCCGGGCGGCTCGGCGGCAGGGCGGCTCTGGTGCAGGGCGGCTCGGCTCCCGGGCGGCTCGGCGGCAGGGCGGCTCGGCTCCCGGGCGGCTCGGCTGCTGCAGGGGGGGCGGCTCGGCTGCTGCAGGTAGGGTGGCGGGGCCGCGAGACCAGGGGCGGCGGGGCCGAAGTAGCAGGGCCGGCAGGTGCAGCGGCGGGGACGGCGGGGCCGCGGCTGGTGGAGCGGCGGGGCCGGCAGAGAGGGCGGCGGAGCCGCGGCTGAGCAGGCGGCGGGGCCGGCGGCGTAGCGGGCGGCGGGGCCGCGTCGTAGTCGGCGGGTGGGCCGCGTCGTAGCGGGCGGCGGGGCCGTGTCAGAGCAGGCGGGGGGGCCGCGTCAGAGGTGGCGGCGGGGCCGCGTCAGATCAGGCGGCGGGGCCGCGTCAGAGGTGGCGGCGGGGCCGCGTCAGATCAGGCAGCGGGGCCGCGTCAAAGGTGGCGGCGGGGCCGCGTAAGAGGTGGCGGCGGGGCCGCGTCAGAGCAGGCGGCTGGGCCGCGTCGTAGCGGGCGGCGGGGCCGCGTTAGAGTAGGCGGCAGGGCCGCGTCAGAGCAGGCGGCAGGGCCGCGTCGAGCAGGTGGCGGGGCCGCTTCGTAGCTGGCGGCGGGGCCGCGACGTGGCGGCGGGGCCGCGATCGGGTGGCGGGGCCGCGATCAGAAGGGGTGGCGGGGCCGCGTCTGAGGGACGGCGGGGCCACGAGGGAAAGGGCGACTCGAGGGGTCGCTAAAAAAAAGATGCGCGCCTCGGGGCGCGCTTCGGTGGGCCCTAGGCAACGTTCCCACAGGGAACTCGCTCTATACCATGTGGAAATAAATGACCAGGTATGAAATGACTAAGCCAGTGTTGGGTACAAATACAACCCTAGAAAGCTGTACCCCATATGTGCTACCCCACTATAGCCTACAAACATGCATCAGCTATAATAATCTGACAGCAGCATACATCGCATACATGCCAGCATGGATGACAACCCAGTCACAAGCAAAAACATATATGTCCTTCTTCAGCAAAGCGAGCCAGTCAGGAGTCTTCATGTGCTCACCATGCTCTGCACAATACAGATCTTTGAGGCGAAAGAAGCAACGAGACTCGGTGTGGTCGGTGCGCGTGCAGATCGCTCCAGGCGACGGACGTACCCGCATCGAGGTGGGCCACCTGAGCTGCCACGTCGGATCGCCCACTCACAAAGCAGCTGCGGGGAGAGCTACTCCTGGCGGCTCAGCTGCTCCTGCTGGCCACCCCTAGAGCCACCTCCACCCCCCGCTGCACCACCAGACGCAGCTGAACGAGTGGCCTGACCTCCAGCCCCTCCTCCTCCAACTCCACCTTTAGTGCCATCCCCACCCCTTCCACCACCCCCACCCCCTCCACCACCCCCACTGCTCCCACCACCCCCTCCTCCTCCCCTGTAGCCTCCACCTCCTCCTCCCCCACCACCTCCACCGCCACCACCGCTGCTCCCGCCACCCCTGCCACCCCCACCCTTGCCACCCTTGCCCTTGCCGCTGCGGCGCTTCCCACTAGGAGCAGACGCAGCACAGAGCTCCTCAACACCAAAGGGGCCAACAGTAGCTGTAGAGGCATCAGACGACACAAGCAGGGAGGGACAGCACCCCTCAAAGACAGAGGGGAGGGGAGTGCCATGAGAGCCAGCGACAACTAGGCCAGCAGACTCAACCTCTAAGAGACGGGACTCAAACAAGGCGATGGTGATCTTCATGGGGTCTAGAGCGAGGAAGTGGTCGCGTACAGCACGAAGGGAGTCAGGGAGGCGGGTTGTGAGAAAGTAAAGGGTGAGATAAATGGGTGGCTTGTTCTCAGCCCTAAAGGCGGGCTCGAGGGCGGCAGCGTAGCGGGTCTCAAGGGAGCGCAGGTGAGTCAGGAGGTTGACTACAGTATTGAAGTCCGACAGCTTGGGAAAGAGGAACGGCAGCGCCAGACGGCCTACAATGGCAGACGATGGGGACGAGTAGCGCTTGACTACAGCGTCGTAAAGGGCCTTGGCCGTCTTAAGCTGGTGAAAGTAAGAGCGCTGGTCTAGCAGAAGGTGGCTACGGATAGCAAGAGCGGCAGTAGCGTTACGAGATGTCCACATGGACTGGTCTACATGAGCAGTGTCAGAATGTTATGCTCTAGCCTGTAGTGGGGTGCTCTATAGCGAGTACAACCATTCTATGGTTTGCTATTTGTATCCTCATTCTTGCTAGTGCAACTCTCTCTTTTGCCTAAACTTTCTCTTGCCTAGCTAGGGCTTTCCTAGCTATGGCTCCTACTTCTGCCTATTACTTTCACATGGTATTAGAGCGATATGCTCCTGGCCTGTGGGCCCCACCTCACTGCTTCCGCTGCTACTGCTACTCCCTGTCCGCCGCGCGCCCCGTGGTGCGCGGCGTCGAAATTAGGGTTTTCTGCCCGCCGTGCGCCCCGAGGCGCGCGGCGGGTTTCTGCCCCGTCACGCCGCGCGTCGCTCCCGGGAGGCGCTGCGACGGGCGACGGGGACCCGCGCGTCGCCCCCCGTCGCCCGCCGTGGCCTGCGCGCGGCCCGTACGGCCTGCGCGCGGCCCGTATGGGCTGCGCCAGGCCCGCGCGCGGCCCGTACGGACTGCGCCAGGCCCGCGCGCGGCCCGTACGGGCTGCGCCAAGCCCGCGCGCGGCCCGTACGGGCGGCGCCAGGCCCGCGCGCGGCTCGGGCCGCCTGCGCGCGGTTCGGGAGGCTGTGCCAGGCCCGTGGGCGGCCCGTTCCTCGCTGCCCCTGCCCTCCCCGCTGTCCCCCGTGCTTCTGATGGCGCCCTACCCCTCCTACTGCCCATTCTCCTGAATTAGGGTTTGGGGGTGGGGGGTATGGGGGTGCAGCTTCTGTGTGCCGTTCCCTGCTCCTCCTCCTCCTCCGTCTCCCGCTACTGCAGCTGCCGCTGAGGGGGGGTGGACCTGTTGGAGCCGTTGGAGTGGTACTAAGGGGGGGTGAAGGGGGAGTGGAGCTAGGGGTGTAGCAGCGGGTGTGTGTCAGGGGGGGGTGGGACTATTTGGGGAAGTTGAACGGAGGTTGCCGTCGTGTCGCCAGCAGCACCTGTAGTCCGGGGAGTTGCTCCGGTAGCCCAGTCGTAGCCACCTGTGCCAGTCACCCGTGGGTCCGTTGCTCGTCTGCCGCTACTTTTAGCCGCGGGGCCAGTTACTCCAGTAGTTCGGAGCGCTGTTCCGGTAGCCGCTGTGCCAGTGTGACTCCTGTTTCCCGTGTGTCTGCAGCTTCAGCCGTCGCCTCCTATCTCCTCTCCTCTCACTGTCCCTCCTCCTCCTCACTTGCCCGTTGTGACTACCACTAGCTTTGCTCATAATTGTGAACTTTTAAACTATTGCTTCTTGAACTTGTGCTCAGAATGTGTGGTGACATTGTGATCCACCCTGAGCTTGTTCTGCTTTGCTTGCTCTGCTGATTACACCCCACTTTGGCTATGGGGGTGTGTTAGAATATTATGCTCTAGCCTGTAGTGGGGTGCTCTATAGCGAGTACAACCATTCTATGGTTTGCTATTTGTATCCTCATTCTTGCTAGTGCAACTCTCTCTTTTGCCTAAACTTTCTCTTGCCTAGCTAGGGCTTTCCTAGCTATGGCTCCTACTTCTGCCTATTACTTTCACAAGCAGCTGTGTCAGGAGGGGCAGCGAGGGACCCCGAGGTATGCTCATAGAGAGAGACATCCTCCCTAGTCTGGCTCTATAGGTACCAGTGAAGATCCTCTAGCCAGGTCTCGAAGTCTACCGGGTGGCCCTCCCCGTCAAAGGTAAGAATAGTAGGGGTTGCCATAGTTGTAGAGCAGTAGTGGTAGCAGCAGCAAGGAGCGGCTCAGTAGGCGGCTCGGTTTGGGCGGCACGGTAGGGCGGCTCACTTTGGGCGGCACGGCAGGGCGGCTCCAACGGGCGGCTCGACTTGGCGGCTTGGTTTGGCGGCTTGGCTCAGCGGCCCGGAGGCAGCAGCAGCAGGTGCGTGAGCCGGCGATGCAAGCAACAGCAGCAGGCGCGCAAGCAAGGTAGGGCAGGGTGCAAGGTGACGGTGAAAGCAGTTCAGCAGGGGCAGGGCAGGAGCATGAGCGGGCGGCGCAGGGCAATGCGCGGGCGGCTCAGGCAGGGCGCACGCAGGCAGCGCGCGCAATGCAGCGCATACGGCAGCGGGTGGCGGGCGGCACAGGCTAGCGGGCAGCGGGCGGCGGGCCAGCAGCAAGTGGCAGCGCGAGCGACACAGGGCAGCACGGGGCGACGTGCGGGCAGCGTGCGGGCCGCGCGAGTAGCGGGTGAGCTGCGTGCGGGCGGCGAGGGCAGCGTGAGGGCAGTAGGCGGGCAGCACGAGTAGCAGGCGGCCTGGCGCACCAGGCAGCGCGACAGCACACTGTTTTGGGCAGGCAGCGCGGCAGCGCGCGGGGCAGGGTAGGGCAGCAGCGCGACGGCGTGCTGGTCAGGGTAGAAACTATGGGCCGTGCAGGGAAAAACGAGACGGTCGGGCAGAGCGGAAAAAATAAGGTGGGCCCTAAGAAACTCGGTCCTAACTGGGACCTACACTGAAACCATGTTACGAAGGAGAATGATGCATTAGGTCAAAGGGGGGAGGGTATAAGTAGAATGTCGAGAGAAATACTGGACCCCCTAAGGCTAAACCCACTACAGCCTATCGAAATCTAAACACATATGTTTTGACACGTGGTAAGCCGCACTTCAACAGGTTCATGGTAAGCCACACTTTAACAGGTTCGTGGTAAGCCGCACTTCAACAGGTTCGTGGTAAGCCGCACTTCAACTGGTTCGTGGTAAGCCGCACTTCAACAGGTTCGTGGTAAGCCGCACTTCAACTGGTTCGTTGTAAGCCGCACTTCAACAGGTTCGCGGTAAGCCGTACTTCAACACGTTTGTGGTAAGCCGCACTTCAACAGGTTCGTGGTAAGCCGCACTTCAACAGGTTCGTGGTAAGCCGCAATTCAACATGTTCGTGGTAAGCCGCACTATAACAGGCTGATGGTAAGCCTCTTGCCTTGCTCAGATTTTGTGAACTTGGAGTCGACTCAAAAGCCAATGTGCTGTGCTTCCACGTAGAGTCGAGTACAACGCCACTCGCAATGCATTCCAGCTGCAGTTCAACTAGCTCGTTGTGAGAGTTATGTCATACCCACACATGTGCTGTCACCTGTCCATGCATGGAAGAATCTCCACACCACAGCGTGCGCAAACATGTGCTGTGCTACAGCTATCGTGGCCGCCCCACCATGCATTTTCAGTCGACTCAAAAGCTGCTGGCCGACCTGTACGTGCCCTCTCCCCCCCCCTCCCCCTCTCTCTTCCGTCCCGCGCCCACAGGACCCGATGGATGCATACAGCTACCATGTTCGCCCCACCATGCGATTCCAGTCGACTCAAAAGCTGTTGGCCGCCCTGTACCTGCCCGCTAGACATGAGCAAAAATCTGTTCGGTTTGTCCGAACATGTTCGTGACAGAACCGAACCGAACATGCTTTTTTGCCACAAATGTTCGGCCGAACATGTTTGACGTGCGGAAGAGGGGGGAGGGAGGCCACGGGGAAGGAGCCGGCCCACTGAAAACACACTCTTGAACCTTGAACATGTTCGGGTTCGCCCCGAACTTTCAGTGTTCGCCCCCCCATCACGAACACCGAACACCTACAATCGCCATAACATGTTCGGGCGAACCGAACATGTTCGGTTCGCCTACAAGACATGTTCGTGGACGTTCGAGCGAACATGTTCGGTGTTCGCCCGTGTCTACTGCCGGCCTTCCCCCGTTTTCCCGCGCCTACAGGAGCTGGTGGACGAATAGAGCTACCGCCAGCCCCTAAAAAATTGCCGGGTGGGCTGTACCTACCGCCCCCTCCCTCCCGTGCCTATAGGAGCTTGTGGACGTGCACTTTTGAGGCGCCTTAAAACTAGATGTATCGAGACCCGCTCACAATGCCTTTTGGGTCAGCTCAAAAGATGTCATCCGGCCTGAACTTAAACCCCCCACCCAACCTCCCCTTCTTCCCGTGCCCATAGGAGCTGGTGGATGCGTACAGCTACCGCGACCGCCTCACCATGACCAAGCTCATTGTCTCCGCCGCCAACAACGAGTTCTTCGCCCTCGATGACAGGTGGGGTGCGGTGATGACAGGTGGGGTGCGGTGATGACAGGTGGGTTGCGGTGATAACAGGTGGGGTGCGGTGATGACAGGTGGGTGATAGGCAGGTGATGAAAGGTGGGTGATAGGCAGGTGATGACAGGTGGGCGTCGCGATGACAGGTGGGCCTATGCCATAGGTGGGTGAGAGGCAGGCATTGCCTCCGTGACCCCGAGCTTCTCTGCAGGTGGAGAGGGAGGATAGGGGAACGGAGGTGGGGAGGGTGGTGCGGATGGGGAAAGGGGGGTTGAAAGGGGGGAATGGGAATGTTTGCAGGTCGACGACATGCCAACGCTGCAGCAGAGCAGCTGTCCAGCGTTGCCCCGTAGAACGCAACAGTGCGCACGCTCGCAAGTGCGTGCAGACGATTGGCCCGACTTGCCTCGTTGGGCATCCGTCAACTATTGTCTGCGCCTGACAAGCCACATCGACTTTGGGATACCAGCCCTCGCCATCGCAACCTCGACGACGTTCGCGTGCCTCTGCCGAACTCGTCGAGCAGGTTACCGGGTCAACCTGGTCGACCATCACTGCCTCTGGTCAACCATCAGGTGCCTCTGGTCCACCACCAGGTGCCTTTGGTCGACCTCGAGGTGCCTCTGGTCGACCACAGCTCCTGTCGAGCTACCCCCTGGTCGACGGATCCCTTCCGTCAACCAGAACTGTCACCGGTTGTCGCCAAGCTTCCCTCGTTGACCGCTGCTCACTTGTCATCGACCTCCCGGTCGAACTGCAGGTTGACGGAGACCTCCCGGTCGAGCTGCAGGTTGACGGATACCTCTCGGTCGAACTGCAGGTCGACGGAGACCTCCGTCGACCTCCCGGTCGAATTGCCCCTCCTGGTCGACGGCCCACCTGTCGCCCAAACCAGTCAGTTACAGTTGTCGAGCTCCCTGGTCAACAGCAACACCACAACGGTCCCCTGAAGCTCGACGGAGCCTGTCGAGCAGCTCTCCCACCGTGAACGGTCGGCTGCTACTCTTGTACATCCGACCAAGTCGTCGGCATTGCCCAAGCGAGGGCGGGGCCAACACTCCATTCCCGTTAACACTCCCCTGCCGCGCTCACGCTTGGGCCTCCAGCCCACACGACAGTACTCCACGGAGAAAACTCGTCCTCGGCGTGCACCCAACACACAGCATGCCATCACCGCACCAGCCGTGCAGAAGGGCACGGCACCTACTGCTGCACCTCGTCGTCGCCGTCGCCAACATCGGCCAGACGAACTTGGCTGATGGCGATGGAGCACCGGTTGAAAGCCGGAAAATGCAGCGCCTTCGTCAAGAAGTCTGCCGGCTGCTCAGTGGTCGGGATGTACTTCAGCACGATCTTCCCGCACCTCACCATGTGCTGCAGCCAGGCGTAGCGTCGCTCCATGTGCTTGAGGTTGCCTGTCAGCCCCAAGCCCTTAGCGACCGTGATTCCCGACTTGTTGTCAACGCGGAGGATGGTTGCCTTCCCAGCGTAGAGCAGCTTGAATTCCGCAAGAAGGAAACGGGGTCGGCGTCCCTCCTTGCCTGCATCAGTGGCCGCCACGTACTCCGACTCGGTCAAAGACAATGTCGCGCACTTGATGCGCGAGCTTGACCAGGAGACGGCGGCCCCTCCGTAGACGAACACGTAGCCTCCCGTGCTCGTCCGGTTCTTCTTGACGCCCGCGTCATCGGCATCTATGTAGCCGATCAGCTCCAGCGTCTCTGGTCCACTGCCGAACTCCAGGGCGGTGTCGCAGGTGTCAGCGAGGTAGGCGAGACAGCGGTCGACCTCACGCCAATGCTGGTCGCTCCTCAGCGTGAGGCCGCTCCCCAGCTTGCTGCAGGCGAACGTGATGTCCAGCCTCGTCATCGTTGCCGTGAACTGCAGCGAGCCGACCTTCTACCGGTACTCCTCCTCTTGCTCCTACGCCTCCTCGTCGTTGAATGTCAGCTCAGCATAAGCGTCGACCGAGACCGGCGTCTTCGGGACTCAACCACCCTGCTCCTTGTCGATGAACCGCCTGCGCAGCTTGTCGGTGTAGCCCTGCTGGTGCGGCCACAGCTTCTTGGCCGGCCTGTCGCGCATGATTTCTAGCCCGAGGTACTTGACGACCAGCGAAATCTCGCGCAGCTCGAAGGCAACCCCCAGCAGCTCCTTCAGCATCACGGTGCTGCTGCTGTCGGCGAGCAGATCGTCGATGTAGACCAACACCCAGCAGGTCACTCCGTCGTCGCCGACTTTGAAGTAGAGTGCCTCGTTGACCTGAGTCTTCTTCCAGCCAGCGCCCAGCAGCACACTGTCGAGAGCTCTGTACCACAACAACGGCGACTACTTCAGCCCGTAGAGGCTTTTTAGCAGCTTACACACCCGGCCGATCCCATCGTCGAAGTAGTCCGGCTGGTACATGTAGAGCACCCTGTCGAGCTTGCTCTGTTGGAAAGCGTTCTTCATGTCGAGCTGCATCAAGTTGAGGTCGAGGACAGCAACGATGCAGAGGAAGATCCTCAGCGTGACGTAGCTGCTCATCAGCGAATGCGTCTCGTCGTAGTCGGCGCCGTACAGCCCTTCACGACCAGCCTCGCTTTCTCGCGCTCGACGGTGTCGTTGATGCGGTACTTTGTCGTCAACACCCACTATTTCTTCATTATGTTCACCCCGCGTGGGCGTTCGACCAGCTCCCAAGTGCCCATACCGATGAGGCTGCGGATCTGTTTTTCCATGGCGGCCTTCACCGCCTTACCCTTCCATCTCGACAGCGCCTCCTTCACCGTCATCGTGGCGATGTCCCAACGGTGTTCGGGGTCGGCATGCACGTCGGGGTCGAGCTCTGGCAGGTCTTCATCCTCCTCGATGTCGTCGTACAACAGGTCGTCGTCGACCTCGTCGTACACCAAGGTGAAGGCAGCTGGCGGTAGGCAGGCGTGGAAACTCAGTCGCCCCGGTGGCCGTTGAGCTTGACCTGTGCGTCACAGCTTAGTCTTCGTGATTGGCACTTCCACCATCTCGCTATCGATGGTCTCCTCACCCGCCGACTGCTCCCCTTCCTCGTCGATGTCCTCGTCCTCGACCAGCTGCTTCAACCCTTCGACCGGCTGCTCACCATTTGCTCACTTTGACCTCTCCCCTGTCGACTGTACCCCTTTTGCTGCCTCCTGTTCGACCGGCTCCCCTGTCGTTGACGCCTTCCCATCCAGGTCGACGAGCTTGGCGCCTTGTCGGTGCCAGTGCCACAGGCGACACCTTACGGCTCCCCTCATCGCCGGTGGCCGACACATGTGTCGACGCAGGCCAATCGGCGACGGGGGAGGGAGGAGCAAGAACAGGGGGAGGTGGAAGAACCTCCACAACATCCTCATCCGCAGGCTCGTCGACTTCGGCGAGCAGCGGAACCGTCGCCGTCGAGGTGTCCGTCGGCGGGTGTGCCTGCGTCCGCCCTGACGCCGGCCCATACTTCGCCTTCCACACCTCCAGCGACAGCGTCTCGTAGGAGATCACCTCGACCGACGTGACCACCTTGTTGTCGGTCAGGTCGAGCACCTCCCAGCCCTTGCTCTCCTGCGACACACCTAGGTGAAGCCCCCAACGAGCCCTCGGCGCTAGCTTCCCATCGCGCTGCTGCTCGGGAACCATGAACTGCACTATGCAACCCCACACCCGCGCCAGCGTAAGGTCGGGCTTCTTCTCAGTCAGCAGCTGGTACGAAGTCGTCCCCGGCGGCGTCGTTGACCGCTCCAAGCAGTTGCGCACCCAGACAGCTTGTCGTAAAGCAAGGTGCCACCAGTGGTGCTGCAAGCCCATGTGCAGCAACATCGTCCGCACGGACTCGACGACCATGCGCATCTCCGGAGTGTAGGGGCACATCAAGTCGTGAACGATGCCCTTCCCATCGACGAAGTCGGTGAACGCCTTCCCAAGGAACTCCCCTCCTCAATCAGAGCGAAGCGACAGCACCGATTTCTTTGTCTGCCGCTCCACCAGCACCAGCCACTTCTGGAAGTCCCGCAGCACGTCACTCTTCTTAGCGACCGGCATCACCCACACGAACCGAGTGTGCCGATACTTCAACAACAGGAAGTACAAGCTGCCATCCTTGGCAGCCACCCGAAATGGCCCGCACAAATCAATGTGCACGACAACCAACGCCTCCTCGTCGTCCGAGCCCTTGGCGGGGAAGGTGTGCCGCGCCAGCTTTCCTCCGCCGCACGAGACAAACGGCGGGTCTGCTCCGGTCGACAACGTGATGTCCAGCCCATTAGCAACTTCATGCTTCGTCGAGCTCTTGATCGTGTCGACGCCGACCTGACGTGTGCGAGCCTCGCATGCAGCCGATCAGGGGTCGACTTTGTCGCTGAGACGATCGTCCGCAGAGCCACCACCTCGGTCGAGTGCGACTGCGTCAAGCAGGGGGGAAGGTCGGTGCAGAGGACTCGTTTGGTGTAGCTTGCTCGACCGAGCACCTCCCAGGTCGCGGTGAGGACCAGCATCTCGACGCCGTCGCCTTGCAGCTGCACTCTGCTCTCCTTCAGTTGGCCCTGACAGCAGGTTTGCCTGTATGCCCGGAACGTAGAGCACGTCGGGGATGAGGACCAGCTTCCCGGCCTCCCCTTGTAAAGCGACGGTTCCGCGACCCTCGACAGGCTGTTGCACCCCGTTGAATCCACGTACGTGCTTCACTCCGTCGCTCGGCGCCATGTCGGGAAGACCGCCTTCGTCCCCATCAGGTGGTGGGAGCACCCGCTGTCGAGCAGCACTGCTATCGGGTTGGCCTGCACAGCTGCCGCCACCACCTAGAAGTCCTCGCCAGCCTCCGGTGCCAGCGAGACCGTCGGCTCCACCACGCCGACCATTGAGCACCACGCCTCCCCGTCGCCCCGGCTCTTGTCGCTAGAGGTGCCGACGTCCTTCGTCGACGACGTCTTCTGCGACACCTGCTTCTCCTTGCGCAGCTTCTCATCTCCACAGGAGCAACGACTGGTTGATGGACCATGACCTCCCTTGCTGTCATCCTCGTCGCTGTCATCGCGGTCGGGG